CCGGGGTGCTGTGGGTGCTGAGGGGGGGCGTGGGGGGCCCGTCGTAGGGTGGGGTTCCCACACCGCCGCCGGTGTAGTCATTAGGGGAGTGGTTTTCGTAGGCTCCTCCTTTCCTGAGGTGGAGGAGGTGAGCCGAGTCAAAAGTGCCGTACGGTGGACTCGGCAGTCCTGGAGTGGAGTAGCAGCCCACGCCACCTAGAGGCGGAGGCGTCACTTGCATGTTGTTATTTTCTTCAGGCTTCATGGTAAGATCAGGAGCCGGTCCCAGCTGCAGACACCCGGCCACCAGGTTGGTGGTGGGCTGTGACAGTCCTTTACACAGCGTCTCCATGAAAGCCGTGCTCTCCACGGAGGAACCCGCCTCCAGGGCCTCGGACAGGGCGCAGATGTAGTTGCGCGCCAGTCGTAACGTCTCGATCTTTGACAGTTTCTGGGTTTTGGAATGACAGGGCATGATGCTGCGCAGGTTCTCCAGCGCATCATTTAAACCGTGCATACGCGAGCGCTCCCTGGCGTTGGCCTTCACGCGCCTCGCGCGGAATCGTTCCTGCCTGGCTTTGGTCACCTGCTTTTTCCTCGGCCCCCGTTGTTTGGACTTGTTTTTGTCCTCCTGTTCTTCGTCTTCTTCATCATTAAAGTCGTCTTCTTCATCCTCAGCGCCTTCACTCGCCATCTCCCTCGACCGGTCATTGGTCTCTGCTGCTCTCTGCTGGTGGGGTGAGACCGTTGTCCCTCCATCAGGTGAGCTCATGTCCTCGTCTGTCCACTGCAGAGGACTGACCGCCTCCTCTGCTTCACCTCGTTTCATATGTGGTTTGATCATCATGGCAGGCTAGAAGAGAAGAAGAGTCGAGGTCTGTCAGACACACGTTTTTTTCTAACTGACATCCGTCATCTTCTACCTTTAACAACACTATATCCTATAGTCTTTTATCCTATGTGATATTTTTACCTTTTTATTGAGTCACAGGAACTATATGGTACTGTTTTCTGCTCTTTTTTCTTATTACTTTCAGCCAGAACTCCAGGGTCAACAAAAACAACATGTAAAAATATTAGATTATAATTTTTATATCTAATCCTCAGTCTCATCTGAAGCTCTGATTAACTTGTGTAATCCTCCCCAAACACAACACACATCCATCTATCTATCTATCTATCTATCTATCTATCTATCTATCTAAAAAAAAATGTCAAATAAAAAAAACATTTCTACTAAAAAATCTTTTTAAAAAATGCCACTGGTTCTGATGTATTAAAGAACGGCTGAGGAGAAGTTTCTGGAATAAACTTATTGCACCAAAAATAAGTCAACAAAAAAAACCCAACAAAAAACAAACAAAAAAAAACAACAATGATGTGAAACTATTTAATTATGGATAACCAACAAAAAACAAACCAAAAAAAAAGAAATGATGTGAAACTATTTAATTATGGATGGAAATAATGATAAAGGTAAGATTTAAAAGTTAGTTACAAACTATTTTGTCATTGACATTCAACATTAATAATGAACAGACACTACTGTGTTATTTTTTTTTGTCATTTTTAAAAGGAGGAAACAAAAAAATCTTAAGACTGAATTTCAAACATTAAATGACACAAATGTGTTCATTTACCACATTGTTTTTCTTTCATTATTTGCATATTTCCAGCCCCCTCCCTCTTTAACCTTCGCCTGGTGTTTTAGCAATAATCCAGGTCACCTTGTGAAATGATAATGTCCCTCTGCGGGATAAAGTCACTGACAGGACTTCAATCTGGGCCATCGCAGGATTTACTCCGCGGATGAAGAGCCTACCATGGGATTAAAGGAAGCGTCCGCAGCCCCCCCACCCCCGGAGCAGCGACACGACCGGGGGTCAGACCAGAACTGAAAAGTTGATTTCATAAATCTCTGCTTTCAAAATAATCTCCCCAAAATGGCGAGAAAACTGTTGCTAGACGATTTTCAACAATTAAAACAACAACAAACATAAAAGTCACTTTAACAAACAACAAACATCAAGTGAAGAGTGAACGTTACCAGACGGGAGGAGTTCCTTTGACTTAAAGTTCTTTCCCTTGTGGATCACAGCCTCCTGCGTGTGTGTGCGTGAGTGTGTGTGTGTGTTCATCAAACACCGTGCTGATAATGATGCTCCTGCTGTCACACACTCCGTCTCAGTGCGGGTCTCTGCGGGGGTCTGTGGGTTTTAACCTCCTCCTCCTCAGAGCTCCACCTCCGCCCACTGCTGCAACGGACGAGCGGCAGCTCCCCCGGGGCCGCCCCGCGCGCCCCCGGGTGTGTGTGTGTGTGTGTGTGTGTGGAGGGTAGCGGGGGGAGTGGGTGTGTGTGTGGATATAAGTGGGTTGCCCTAAAAGATTATAATAATAATATGCAACATTTTAATTGTCCACACATAAAGGACATGTAAATTCCCTTGTTTCTCCTATAGAGGGTGCTGTGGATACAGTGTGTAAATGCCCTGGTTTATAATTCCGTTTATTATTCGCTGCAATTAATTACTATTTATATTTAGAATCGTTGTCTCTCTGGGTAAAAGTGAACAACGTGACTGTTAAAAGTATAATTAAAGTAAAAAATGAATGAATTATTATGAATATTAATAAAATGAATTCAAATCAATTGAAACAAATTCACATTCTTTCATACTTTTCTCAGCATCAATGATCTCTGGATGAAATAGTACCTTAAAAGTTTACCACAACACAAAAAACAAATGTACTTAGATCTATTTAATTCTTTGCCACAACACACAAAGAAATCTACTTAGATCTATTTAATTCTTTTTAAATAATTTTTTTTGGCCAAAAATCCTTAATGTTTTTTTTAAATAAAAATTCCTAAAATTAATAGTTGAAGAAAGTATTACTGACATATATTACATGTCCAAATATCTACTGTTTGTCCTTTTTTTTTATACACGGTCGGTTTATATGTCGGACTCCGACTGGTCAGGATTAAGGTCAGAATAAATGGAAGCACAAACAGTGTCTAATGGAGAACGCCGTTGTGTGTGTGTGTATGTATGTGTGTGCAGTCAAACCCTAACAGGGGAGGCCTGGTTCTTTGTTGCAGGCTGGTTTGCGTGGAGCGCGGGGCAGAGACCGGTCGCTGCAGCTGAGCCTAACTGTATGTGACAGCTTCCAGCAGGTGTTTCTCTCCGTCCGTCCCTGGTCACCCAACGTCCCCGCCACCACAGTTTGACTGTGGGTTGAATTCCCTTCTCCTCTTCATCTTCAATGTTGAAGTTAGTTATTGAAAAATGTATTTAATGTAGTGTGTATTAGCTATAATATTCCCTCATAGATTATATATAATCAATCATATATTTATGATATTTTATTTCATTATTCAACATTTTAGGTTGTTGTTCATGTACTCCTTAAAAATAACATATATATATATTATTCCTATACTAGCTACAAAGCCATAACTATATATATAAATAATCATGTAATTATGAAATAATAATTTACAAAAAAAATCAAATGCATTTTTTAGATCAAAATCACTGAATACATATTAAGCTTTTTATTGAATATTTTAAAATATTCTATAAATATTTTAAAGTTTTTATTTATTAAAGGGGTGGGTTATGTTGTGTTTTATTTATTTATTTATTTGGGTGAATGTTACTGAGTGGATAAACAGCAGTATAGTCATGTATGGATTGGTCTGAAGTTTTATTTTCTGATTGATTGGGTGAAACACCTACTATTTTAAACTTATAATAACCTGTGACCTGCTTCACTGCAGCCTGGACCTAAACTTACACTGGCTCATCTGGACTCACTTTAAAATTTTACTCTTCAAACATTGATGTCAGAGCTGTGATCAGGTCGATCGGAACGCTTCAAAATGTTAAAAAAAAAAAAACCCTCAAAGAATGAACGTTGTCCCACGTTTCATGGTCCAACATCAACTTTAGAAATGGCCGACATTTCAGCCAGAAGTAACCCTCCCTCCGGCCCAGCGCTGACCCTGGGGGAGACTGCCGTGATGCTGACCATGTGTCCCCCACCACTGGTTAAAACAGTCGCCCCCGTTCTGCCTGAACCCCTAAACCTCCGTAACCCTAACCCTAAAACCCCTCGGTTGGCCCCCTGTTGTGCGTGCTCATTGGCTGACCGCCTTCAGGCGTCCCTTTTCCACGGGGCCCATTGTCTGGGCCCGTAAGCAGCTTTGTTTCTGCATGTGCAGCTGGGCCGACCCGCGCAGCCATTAGCCGCAACACGCCAAAAAAAAGAGAGCGGGATAATATAATTACAAAACAAAAGTCAGGTGGCTCACGAGATCTGCCAGGAGACCGCCGTTTGGGGAGGGGGGCGACGCAGGGATCTGCTGGCGGGTGGCCAGCTATAATTCGATTATGAAGTTGTGTGAGTGACAAAAGAAACAATCGGATCTTTCTTTCTTTTATTTTCCCCACTGTGATTTAATTTGATTCCATTGAGGTTTTAAAGAAAGAGGGCAGAGTGAAAAGAGAGAAGATTTACTCTTCTCATTTCTGGAGTCAGCAGCTCAGAAAAAACCCACGGTTTGTCCGACAAAAAAAAAAAAACAGAGAAATTCTTCTTCCTGCTAACTTCATTGTCGTCCTGCTGCAGCACTCAGACCTGTGTGTGAGGGCAGCATCAGATGAATTGCCTCTTCTTTTTTTTTCCCTCCCAAAAGCACTGGTCTTGTGCTGTTGTTTTGCATGAATGCACCCAGACTGGAGGACAATGGGATCAGTGGCAGATCCATCTCCTGTAATACTTTCTTTAAACAGGGCTGCGAGTGTGTGTCCCCCTGTTCTGTCGGCAGACCAGGATTTATCCTGTTAGTCACCCTAGATGAGTGAAAGAGTAAAATCAACCCCCATCCCAGCTGGACACACACACACACACACACTTAACCCCACATGGAGATTTATACGTGCTGCTTCATGGACAGCTGATGAGGACAGGTTTAGCTGGTGGCTACTGTTCAGAGCAGGTCAAGCAGAAGAGAATGTGTTAATGTTGTTTTGTTCTGCTAAAGTGTGCATTTATTTTTGGTTTTGTGTGTGTTTTCTTCCTTCATTCAGATCAGATCAGATCAGACAGAAAACACCGGCGTCTCATCTGCACTTCAACACCGGAGGCCGCTGTTGTTGGTGTCAAGCTCAGGTCGTATGAACTGTTCTCTCTTGGTCAACACATTCTCATGCTCTGTAACGCTGTAACACTGTAACTCTGTAACGCTGCCGCCCATATATGGACTGTTTAACGTCTTTATTTGTGCAGTTGGCTCAGCCGAGTATGAACATTAATAATAATAATAAAAAACAACTCAAATGTTAGAGAAAACTAAAATATTATAATATTTTCATTTTAGTAAAATCGCTTTTTTTCATGCATTTGTTTAGATCAGTCTGATTATCAGCATGTTTGAGGAGAGGATGGCTTCAATCTGACGTTGTATCAGGGGCTCGCCGGGAAGGCTGAGCCGATGAATTTCTTTCCGTCGCCGTAGAAAGAATTAGTCCAGGTGTAAGTCTGGATTATGAGATCCTTTCCTCCCATACTGAGACGACACCTGAGGAGGAAGTTAGAAAGAAATAATGACGGTCAGTGATCGTACAGGGATATGACTGGATTCTTTTTCAAATGAAGTCAATTAGTAAAACTGAAGGTGGTTGGGGACCCCCGCAGGGGACAGTGGACAGTGGACATCTCAGGTCAAGTGTCTACTCACTGTTTCCCAGGGCGGGTGATGTAGCAGAGGCTGTAAACGGCGAAATCGAACTCAGGGCTGCAGCCGATGATCGCAGAGCCGACCTGCTTGTAGTAACCGTCCCATTTAAACTGCATTCCCAGCACGTCAGGAAAGGTGGTCCACTGTGGGGGGACGGAGGGAGGGGTCAGTTTGCAGGATTATATAGACATTACTGTGTGTGTGTGTGTGTGTTGGAGCGTACAGACCCGTTGAAGCTGTGGCTGTAGTAGTCCAGCTCTCCTGTCTTTTCAAGAAGATAGAACTGGATCCAGTTGTGGAACCCGGACACTTTTCCCTGTTTGATTTCACCTGTAACACAGATACACTGGACTTTTATTCAAAGTTCAAATATAAGTACTTTTTTTTTTTACTGTTATCTGCCTGACCTGCGAAGATGTGTTCAAATCCACTGGAGTCCAACATGTTGTTGTTGCGTGAGTACAGACCGAACCACATCATCTTCAGATCCTGGAGGAACTCTTCCTCTGTGGCGTAGACGCCTTAAAGACAGAATCATAGAAGAAAATGTAATCATCCTTTAACGATGGTGTGGTATCACCGGTCTGCAGTAACGACTGGTACAGGCTGACCGGTCCTTGGTACAAAAAGGTTGGGGACCCCTGGACTTAATGTAATGTGACCAATTAAAATGACCAAAGACATAACCTTTGAGTAATTTGGGTCATTATAAGGCGGTAAAATTTCCAAGTTTACTTCCTTGAAAATACTCTGCAAAACCTGCACTACACTGAGACGACCAGCGTGGTGTCACTGACGTGAATAGTTACCCTTTGTTAACAGGAAGGCAAAGAGCTCTCTGCCCAGCTCGGTGTTGGACATGGTCTCCCTGATGAAATCCTCCTGCTCAGCCAGCTGCTCTGGACTGAAGTTTTCAGCCTGACCCGTCATTCTTTTGTAGTTATCCAGCACGGACAGGAAAGACGAGTAGGTGGGTCTGGAGAAGAGAGTCTCCTCGTCCAGGTAGCGGAACAATCTGTGACAGGAGGAAGGAGAACATATGTGATGAAGGAGACAGTGATCACTGAGAGACAGTTACAAACAGTCGTCTGCTCACGGCCTGGGGGACAGATCCGTCTGTGAGCTGGTCTGAGAGTTCGGCACCAGAGCCTGAGCATCGATGATCAACTCTGAGGCCGAGGCTTTGTTTGAGTCCAGGGCGTAGAGGGTCTCAGAGAGGGCCTTGATCTCAGAGTCCAGGATCACACTGCCCCCACCTGCAAAACAAAATAATAATAATAATAATAAAAACACATACTATAATTACATCATATTCAATACAAAGTTTCCTTTAAGTTCATATGTTAAGAACATTTTTTTTTAGGTGTGACAATTTCTGTCAAGCTCATGTTTGTGATCAGGTTATATTTGTACATACTTTTAAAAAAAAAGCATTTCTAGGCAAAGCATTGACTGGAAATGTCACTTTCCTGTTATGCAACTCTACAGTGACACCTTGTGGACATGTGGTGAACAACGTTCAACGACGTGAAGAATTTGCCAAAACGGCAAAAATAAAACGTATCTATTAAAGGAAGGACTCGTGTAATTATACAGTTAACAGTATATATGTAAAATGAACAAATATGTAAAGGTAGAGGAAGATACGTCATCATCTTAAATATGAATCACTAAAAACGTGTGAGAGAATTACAGTCATCACCATGTTACAGTGTATAAGAATTAGCAAGTGGTAGATTTTTAAAGTACATTGTTGTAAAGTTGTTAAAGTACATTTTGTGGCAGTTAAAATGACTGTCACTAGTTCCATTGTTACAAATACTTCCAAATACATGTATCATAAATGATAAAATGCTCACGTGTACAGAGAACTGTTTACTCTGAACCATGTGAACGCCACCAGATGTCACTGAAGATAAGCCAAAAAAAGAAAGAAAAAAAACCAAAGGCACGCGTGACACCAGGTGAGCAGTGACCAGGTGACACATGGTGGGTCTCAGTGTCTTACACAGCTCTGTGAAGTCACTGCAGCAGTTCTGGTACTCAGTGCACCTGGAGTTGCAGTGGCACGTGTTCTCAGCGTTGTATTTTTCATCACATCTGTTCTTACACGACGTGGATCCAGCTGGAAAGAAAGGGAGAAAAAAAAAACAAAAACAAATCAACAAATGGTTTATAACAGACCGTTACAAAAGTTCTGCTGTGTGTCAGTAAAAAAAAAAAAGGTCCTACAAATCTTTTCTCACCTGTACAGAATTTAGCATAGTCAGAACAACAATCATTGTAACGCACACAGGAGGGGTTACACTGACAAGAGTAATCACTGTCAGTGCCGTAACCACAGCGACCCTCACATGAGTCCAGGGAGTCTGAATAATATTAAGAATATTACAAATGCAAGAAAATGCAGTTACTTAAAAAAATATATTGTTTTTAAATAAATCACTTACTGCAGTATCCCTGGCAGACAAGGCTCACAAAAATCACAAAGAGACCAACGACCTTCATCTTAGCGCTGCAGCTCCTGAAATGCAGAAGTGACTGTTAACATCTCCCATTTATAGCAACTTCCCACTGACCAATCCTGACCTGGCTCACACTGACCCAACCAGAAGGCTCGGAGGGTTCTTAGCATGTGATCCAGTCTGTACACACCAAAAAAAAAATGTCCAAAAACTGAAACGTGATGTACTGAAAAGTGAGTTCAAAAACAAAAACCCGGAGAACAACAAAATACCTAAAAGAATATAAATAATAGATAAGAGACAATTGTATCTATTTGTGTAATGAATGAAGATAAAAATTACTCTAATTGTGGTATCAGAACAGATGTTAATGTAATATATATAATAAATCATATATGTAAAATATAATATATAAAACTACTTATTAGAGGGTCAAGGTCAATAAATGCTTTTAAAAATACATTCTACAGCAGACAGTTCTACATCTGAGTGGAACAGGAATCTACATATCTGTACTGTTAAAATACTGTATGATCAAAGTGATGCCGTTCACCAGCACCAGGTGATCCAGCTGCTGTGTCTCACAGGGTTTGTGTACAAAGGTTAAGGTTTTCCAGAATACGTCACATGCCTCAGTGACCCTGGACGACCAGGTCACACATTTTTAAACATTTAGATTCAAGCAGTGAAGTTACATGTTAAAAAAGTAAAAAATAATCAAATGATGTGGATTTATAGACATACAGTATCTGTGAGGTCTGTCTGTCAGAAGGAATTGTATGAGTTGCCTTCGATATAACTATTTTTGGATAAAATGACCGGGATGACTGAGGGCCTACACAGAAAAGTCAGAAGTTGTATATAAATATACAAAACAATATGTGCATTTAAATGAAATCAAAAACTCTGGGACGCAGACTTTGCAAACGCAGTTATCCTCCTGTACTGTAGAGGGCGCAAGAAATAAAAAAGGCCCATTTATAATTTCCCGTTCGATCCGCAGCGGCTTCCGTACACAGCGTGGAGTTCAATGACATTCTGAATGAGCTTCCTTCAGAATCGGTGTAGGGATGTCTTTCTCGTTTTTATTCAGAACTGTTGCCAGACATGCTGTTAAGGTGAGCGGACATAAAGTCGTTGTTTTCCTGGGTTCTGAGTTTGTGTTTTACCGCCACGAGTTGTTACCGCTAATGTTTCTGACTGTGATCCACAGCCCACTAATTAAACACTTATGTTGAATAGCAGGAATTGTGAGCGAATTGTTTTTGGAGTAATGTTCTTATATGAAGGAAGGAGCTTAACTTCGATTTTACCTAGAACTACATTTAGACTTTAGACTTCAGGCCATCTATACTGTGTTAAAATAAGGGTAACCCGACTCTGTCTGCTTCTTTAAAATTAATGTCATAATATGTCAAACCAGTAAATATTATAAATACAGGTCTGTCTGTCTGTTTGTTTGTTTGTTTGTTTGTTTGTTTACCTCGTAGGCAGAGAGCTGGCTGAATGAACAGGCCCAGAAGGAAGGATGGAGCAAAGCCAACAAACTTGAAGGCCGTAAAGCCAAGGAGGGTCTGATGGGTCTGTTTGTTGGCGATCAGGCAGCTGTTATGGTAGAGGTGAGGCTAATATGTGATCGAGGCTCGCAGTCACATTTTCATCTCAAGAAGAATCACATTTATATTCATTGTACTGATACAGACAGACACACAACATTTGTTCTCTACAATTAAACAATTTCTGTGGAGCTGTCAGCAAAAATAAAAAATAAATATATATGTATATATATAATTATATATATGTGTGTGTGTGTGTGTAATTTGGTGACTTTTCAGTGAAATTGTTTGTTTTGTTTACTTGTTTGTTGGATGAAGGTGAACTGCGAGACAGACTTTGTTGCCCGCAATGAGAAGTTTCAGCAGCTGGTTAAAGATGTGGCGTTGGCTGCATTGGCTCATCACCAAAACAAAACCGAAAGCAAGGCTGGATATGTCAAGGTGAAGAGGTGTCGTAGTATTACAAGGCATGCTGGGATGTCAGTGTGTGGCATTCATGGACTAGTTCTCATTAACGTATGTGTTTACAGAGTGTCCTGCAGAGTGAGGAATTAGGTCGGATCTCTGTGAGTGAAGGAGCATCACTTACTGACAATGTGGCTCTTGCAATAGGTCAGTCAGAAAATGTGGTGACAAACTAATTTGTTGAAAAAATGTGTGTGAAACATGACTGCAAACCATTATTAGTTGACTAGGTTTAAGGCAATAATGTCTAATGTCGTTATTTGTTTTACTTATGGACTTTAGTTAAAAAATTCTACAGCATCCTGTAGTTATACAAATATTCCCGTCAAATAAATACATGACATAAACATCTGGACTGTATTTGTGTCCTCTAGGTCGCCTAGGGGAGAATATGTCAGTCAATCGTGCAGTGACGATCAGCGTCCCTGCTGAGTGGCACATCGGCTCCTACGTGCACGGGAATGTGAGCGGTCAAACTCAGGTGTCCATGGGACGATACGGAGCCCTGATCATTTTCCAGGGAGGAAACGAGGCCGAACGGGAAACCTTAGGTCGTAAACTGGGGCAGCATGTCGTGGGAGAAGCCCCCCTGTCCATGGGCAACATGGACGACCTGCCCTGCGGCGAGGCTGAGACCCGTCTGCTGCCTCAGACCTTCCTTGGAGACCCCAGCAGGACTGTGGCCCAGTTCCTTAGGGGCCAACAGGCCCGAGTCTTGGACTTTGTCCGATTTCAGTGTGGAGAAGCAGCCAGTGAGAAAACAGAATGAACAGAGATATTCACCTGTGATGTATTGTCTGAGAAATAAGATAAATGTGCACTTTTTAAGTTGTAAACCATGAATTTAGAATTAAGACATCAAGATCTACAAATAATAGCAGCAGTTATTTATCAATAAAATGTCATGATCATGAAATCATTGTTTATTTTACATTGTCACCAAATGTAAAATAAAAAGATTTACTCTGTCAGTATTCCAAGTTATTTTCCTTTAAATTTCAATGAAAACTTAAAGTTTTATATATTTATATAACGTAATAATATTAAAGCAGCTCTGCTCCTGATGTTAATTTAGAAACAAAAAATATGTAATTGTAATAATTAAAACAAAAGCGTGGCTTGTATTGGGAAAAATACTTTTTTTCAGAAAAAATAAACATTAAAAAATATATACAGTACATTGCAGTATCACCGTTTGAAGAGAAGAAAAAAAAAATCAAACATTTTATATTTACGTCAGAAAAAGAAACCGAGAACGCACGTTGTGGGAGAGAGTCCCGTGATTGGCTGTGGCCTTATAAACTGCAGTGACGTCATCGTGGATGTGGGCTGAAGAAGCTGCTGGAACTCTCTTCACTAAACACCGACCAGAGATATCGGAGCTGCTGCTGCTGTAAATCCTGGGCCCCGTTTATCACAGCAGACATGGTAAGTGTGTGTAATATCACACGCTGATGTGTTAACGTGTGTAAAACCTCACGGGGAGGAAGTAGAGAAATGTTTGACTTCGTGTATTTGAATGCTAATTTAAATAAACCCAGATTATCGCGGCTAGCTGCGTCTCCCACCGGCCTGCTGTGAACGCTTTAAACCTTTTGCAAAGATGCTTTAACGTATTTTGTTGTCGAATAATTGTGTATATGAGTGTTTTAAAATTTAAAAAATGACACTAATGTCCGTCTCTTCTCTCCGTCCCACCCCCAAAACACCTCCGACCACCACACCCCTCTGTTCGAACACTGCCACAACCAGTCTGACTTCTCAGAAGACCAGATCCAGGGTGAGTTCACGACACTTTGCTGCTGAAATAATTCACCGTCAACTCTACAGTGACATCCGTTCAGATGTTCAGTCCAAGAACCACCAGATTAAAACTATTTGATTTAAAAATAGTTTTAAGCAGGTGTCACCGGCTGAACGTTCTCCATAGTCAAATAATCCCTTTCTAATCACTGCGGTAGATTCAAGTGTTTATTTATTTTATAATCATGTAATTTTACTTAAATAATCTTTTTTTCTAAACTTACCCTGTTAAAAAATAAAAAATATAAGCAGTGATGTTCTGACCTAGACATACTGAAGTACTTTGAGATACTATGGCCACATTTAAATGGTTTTTATTTCACAACTTTTCACTGTTTAAGGAACTTCATCTGTCAATAGCTCTAGTTAACTGTTTGAAGAGGATTAACTAATTACTTAGTTAATAATTACTTATACTAATTACTTACTTTCACTTGAGTGAGTGAGTTGCATAAAATATGAACTAGTCCAGCAGGTTAGCCTGTTTAAGTTGTTTCATTGGCTTATAGTATAATTTCATAAATAGCACTGACTAATTTGTGCATTTTATGGACTAAATGTCTCATTAAATATATAGGAAAAAACATTATCTACAATTAAAAATACATTTTATGGACTAAATGTCTTGTTAAATATATAGGAAAAACATTATCTACAACTAAAAATTATAATTATAATTATAATAATTAAGGGCGCTTTGGCCCAGAGGCAATGTCTCTGTCATTTGGTGTGGAACCCCAGGGTTCACCTCCTGGGCAAGTTCGAATCCCAGTTAGGGCGGTTGGTACCTTCCAGTGGACTCACCACCTGCAGGAAGGTTTGGTACGGTGCAATGTGATTTGGGTGGCAACTGCTGCCCCCGCAACCCGGTAACGGATAAGCGGATGAAAATGGATGGATGGATGGATTTTAATAATTAAATTTTTTTGGGTTCTCATTTAGGTTTGTTATTAACTTTAACAATAACAGTGTGATTTATCTTTTAATGTTTGTGCTCACAGACAAACACAACCAAAAAAAAACAAGAAAAAAACGTCCTCCTTTGTGGGGCACAGACTAAAACGATGGTGTATGTAGAGATATGCATAGTAAACACACACACACACACAGACTCCAGGTCTCTGTGTCTTATTTCACCTCCTTTGTGAAGTGAACAACACAGGTCGATGGATACATTTCTGTGCAACAGTGTGAGAAGGTGTCATGTTTTTACTGTGACCAACACAGTGGGAATAAACCTAACTATCCACTTTACTTTACCCATGCTGCACTGCCCTAAGAGCTGTATTTTTTCCGACAGTTGAGCGACACATAAATCCCACATCTTATTTACTCAGATTAAACTCAACTTCTTGAATGAAGTTTCCAACCTTTGTTAGTTTTTACTCTAATGTTCCTCGAGCGAACGCACAACACGTCAGCGTCTGAACTCCTCTGTCCTCGTGTCAGAATATAAGGAGGCCTTTCTTTTGTTCGATCGGACCGGTGATGGGAAGATCACCTACAATCAGTGTGGCGACGTCATGCGTGCCCTGGGACAGAACCCGATCAATGCTGAAGTTCTCAAAGTCCTGGGAAACCCTAAAGCAGAAGGTACACACTGTCATACTAAATCACTTCAACCTGTCGTGGTAGTACTGATGAGTAGAAATGATACTTTAAAGTAAACATGTATTTTGCTGCTAAATCTTTTTCATAATTTTATGATGCTAGTTGTTTTTGGACTACACTGGTCCAGGAATGATCTGTACTGTAGCTTTATATTTGAAACTGTGGAACAGCTAATCACAAACAACTTTTTTTTTCTTACAAAAATTATATTTTTTAAAATATATTTTAATAATTAAAATATACAATATTCACTGATGTTAAGTGGCAAATTCTAAATTCAAGTGATTAGTTTTATACTATGATCATTTATTATTGGTGTTAAACACTTTTTACTGCAATTCCTCTACTGGCCAGCAGAGGCTGATGTGGTAAAATTCCTTTAGACATTTAATAAACAAATCAACTTCTCTGAAGACGTTGACCTTATTCTCATGTCGTCCATTATTAACCCCACTGCAGAGATGAATCATAAGATGCTGGACTTTGAACAGTTCCTGCCGATGCTCCAGGCCATCGCTAAGAACAAGGACCAGGGAACGTACGACGACATCGTGGAGGGTCTGCGAGTGTTTGACAAGGAGGGGAATGGTAAAGTGATGGGAGCAGAGCTGCGTCACGTCCTCACAACTTTAGGTAAACATCAGTGGCTGGTAGTGTTTGTCCTTTATCAAAGTTAACCTCGGTGTGAGTTACTGTTGTAAAAATCAACTCAGATTAACAAGCTGAGAAATAATAAAATAATATGTTTTTGTGTGTTCACCAGGTGAGAAAATGACGGAGGAGGAAGTGGAGACGCTTCTAGTGGGACATGAAGATGCCAATGGCTGCATTAACTATGAAGGTAACACAACAGTTAAAGTGGACAATTAATACAAGCCTCGCATTCTTGCACAGAGAGCTGAAGGGAAACTGTTTCAACCTGTCCGTACATGCACTGAGGCGGTGTGTTTCACCCCCAAAAATGTAGCTCAGCTGCAGCAGACCACAGCATACATACATGCATTTAAAGTTGGACGTTTCCATAGAGTTTCATTTATTTGAATCCAGCTGGAAATGCATATTCCCTGTGCAGTACCATTGCTGGCCAACAGGAGGCCAACAGCCCCCTTAGACATCTGTTCAGGAAATGACAACTTTTTAATGTAGTTATTTGTTTTAATAATAACAATAATTGAGTCCCTTATTTGCCCCCTCCTCTGGGAATTGAACCCAGGACCCTGTGGCTCAGTTTGACCTCCAGTCTCAGGATTAGTTCTAATCCGTGTCTCTCTTCATTCTTATTTTATCTCTGCATCTCTCCTGACAGAACTGGTCCGGATGGTGATGAGTGGATAAGCAGGAGCAGAACATACACTTCCAGCTTTAAAGCTACTCCTTAGTATTTTTGTACCATGTGTCCTGTCGTCCCATCTTGTCCCCACCTGTTTCTGTTCTCTTCATTCCTTTTCTTTTTCTCTTTATTTTTTTATGGATGTCTTTACTTTTTTTAAGTGCCTTTTTTTTATCCAAAGCATGAAGACCTTCTCCTCTAATGGTCCAAGCACAATTCAGTCTCTCTTGCATCAACAGTACTTCCCCTCGGCGTCACTCAGCAGTTGTCCACTGTCCCTCACCTCGTCAAATGGACATGATAATGTGAAATGTTACATTTAACAGTGTTGAATAAAATCCTCTACAAAAACAGTTTATATTATATGTATATATGTATTTTTATATATATTGCATTTTTACACAAGCTTGAAAATACTCCACACTATATAAATATAAATGTGTATATATATATAAATATATACGTATATGTATATATTTATATATATTGCATTTTCGCTATACAATCTTGAAATCGTGAAAAGAAAACTCCACACATTCACTCCTCTTCACATCTTTATTTGCCCCTCAATATTTGAATAATATTTAAAACCTAAATTGATTTTTTTTTTTATTCTGTCTTTTTTTTTTCATCCCCTAATAATAAATCCTGGAGGCTGTCAGCACTGATGTGATGATTTACTGAGGAAAAGATCAACTCCTACTATATAACAATAATAATAATAATAATAATAATAATAATCAGAAAGGAACGGCTGCTACCTTCAGCACAGTGAAAAAAACATACAGAAACTGAACACACACTTATTTCATATCACAAAGTCCACACATCGTAGTAACAACACAGATAAAAGAAGTCCATGTCGGCTCACGCGCCGCGGCGGTGAGGACTGCAATACTGACTGGATGAACCTCCAGGGGGCGGTCAGACCTCCGGGCTGGAGTGGAACTATGAGGTGACGTGTGCAGAACTGGGCCATGTTTCCAACATGAGACACAGAACAATGGCACTGGTAATCAAAACTGAATGGTAATATATGGTGAGAGCTCACACACACACACACACACACACACACACACACACAGCTAAAGAGGACAACGCCAAAACACATTATTTTATGTGAGAGGCCGGCGTGTCCAATGTCGGCTCACGCGCCGCGGCGGTGAGGACTGCAATACTGACTGGATGAACCTCCAGGGGGCGGTCAGACCTCCGGGCTGGAGTGGAACTATGAGGTGACGTGTGCAGAACTGGGCCATGTTTCCAACATGAGACACAGAACAATGGCACTGGTAATCAAAACTGAATGGTAATATATGGTGGAGAGCTCACACACACACACACACACGGCATGCGTTCACGTACACGCGGCCACACGTCCGACTGATCGGACAGAGCCGTCTGAATCGTACTCGACAGTGGAGAGGCTAAATAGAGGCTAATAATGTACAGGTACAATGTGGACATATCAAAAAGGACGGAAGAATGGATGGTAAAAAAATATAAAAGTTGACAGTTTTAAAAATTGTAGATATCAATGACACGCTTCTCAACTATCAGCCAATAAGGTGCATGCTCTCGTATTTGACAGCATTGACATTTCTTCCAACCGTATGAGCAAAAACAGACAGTAAACAAGATTAAAAAAAAAAAAAATCCCTTCATTTTCCCCTACAGCCACTATAAAACAAATGGAGTAAATGTGAATATAAAACATTTTGGTTAAGCCATTAAAACAAAGTCAAAACAAAGTCAAATTCTTTTTTTCATAAACATAAAAATGGTTGCAGGTTTAACTGTTTTTTTCTTCTTCTTCTTCTCTCCTCTCCCAGTACGTCCACTTCAGTCATTTCTTCTGAAACAAAACTACATTCACACAGAAATACAGTCTGGATTCATTTAGATTTGTAACACTGCGGTGCCAAAGTGACACATTGATAAGTGCTGAACAACAGAGTATCATCAAGTCAACCAACGAGGTCTTTTTTTTTAAAGACATAAAACTGCCAGTACGCGTGTTAGTCAGGGAACCATAGGTTTGGTCGTAACAGGAGGATCCAGTTTACAGTACGTATTTTTTGAAGCACATTCAAACAGTCTTCAGTTCATTTCAAGCTTGGTTCTGGTTTGAACTTTTTTTTTTTTTTTCACCCTTTACCGAGACTCTTTTTAGACACGTGACCATCACCACGTTCATGTACCATGTAAATCAACAATGGAGAGGACTGAGTGATACTCCCAATCATTTGTTTCACACCTTCGGTTAGTAAAAGCATTTAAGACAACAGAAGGATAATATAAGTGCTCAAGTTCAATTATCTGGAAGCTTTAAGTCTTTCGAGACCTGGGGAAACATTAAAAGTGCATTTTAATTAGTACCTACAGTAAAAGGAGGATTGGGGAAACTCTGGAGAGAGTATAAAAAACATCGGACTTCATGAAACGTCTACAACACTGACAACACCGACAGACGAGTGTGTTCTTCTCCTTGAGCACCAGCGTGAAGGTCGGCTCTTGGTCGAGCAGGTCACTGGTGTGCAGCTTAAAATAATGAAGTGAAATGTTCTGTCCGCTCCGTCGTCACAGGACAGACAGCTTCTGTAGGATTTCCTTTTTCTTCATTGGCCCATTCAATTCAATCACTAAAGAACAGTTTTGTGTTTTTTTTTTTCAGTCAAAGTACAGGTTATTTGATTTACGCCTCTCCTTCTCACATGGATTGTTCTGTTGGGATAAAACCTCCGGGTTTCACGACTTCACTTCTTCGTTTTAGATGAAACAGAGTGGTCAGAGTCAATTGGGTTCTCACTGTGGAGGGACCGGGACTGGAGCTGCAGGGTGGAGTGTTTCTGTGGTGTGGGTGGCGCTGGGCTCTGGAGAAGAAAGATCAGAAAAAAAATGTTAAAATTGCTTATTTTAATAGAAGAAAGAGCAGAAGAATAATCTTTAGAATGAGCTACGACAATGGTTCTCAAAGTGTGGGGCGAGCCCTCCCTAGGGCCAATTTATTATCTTCTACATTTGTGTCACAGTAAAAAAAATGTCAGAGCTTTTGGAGTTACAGTGTCAGAAATAATAGTTCCTGAAGCTGAAGCAGTAGCTGTGCCACTTCTGCCACCATGTGGCCTTCAGTAAAAATAAGAGAAGTTTGAGTTGAGAAAAAAAGCAATATTTCAGAACCTTTTTCCAGTTTTCCTCTAAATACATTTCAGTGAAAAAATCTCAAGTATTTGTGATGAAGTGTCCAGGAGGATGCTGGGAACTCACCGTGATGTACAGGTGTAGTGCTTGAGCTGGAGTGAGGAGCTGGAGCCTGGCTCTGAGGGCGAGGAGGAGACGTGTGAGCACTCTGAGGTGTTTGGGGCTCAGGAGCCGGGGCAGATGAGGCCACGGGTGCAGGGCTGGCAGCCGGCGGCGGTGCTGGTGTGCTGGGGGCTTGCTGAGCTGCTGTCACGCCCTGCTGCGGCGGGCCTGAAGACGCCGGGGTGGAGTGGGTTCCGCCGGCCTGGCTGTGCTGCTGGTGCTGGATCTGCTGGAAGTGCTGCTGTCGAGCCCTCATCTCAGCGTATTTGAGCTGCTCCATGTGGAAGGACTGACGGTCGGCCAGCAGCTGCTGCCGCTGATACTCCAGCTGAGGACATGCAGACGCAGGGGAAAAAAGAGTGACTGGTTTTTACAGGTGGACAGGTGTGTGTGTGTGTGTGTGTGTGTGTGTGCTGATACACAGAACCGAACACTCACAGCCTCCCTCTCTCTGTCCATGATGGTTTCTAGTTCTTCAAAATGTCGCAGTTTAATCTCCAGCTTCTTCATTTGTGTTTCCACCAGCAGAGCCACCAGAGATTTGATCTTCCTCTCTTCCACCGCAGCAAGGTGCTGTAACAAAGGGACGATCGGTTTAAAAAAAAGAAAAATGCAGCTACACACGTGAAGAGTGAATCAGGTGAGACTAAATATAACAAACGTCACCTTTGCTTTGACGGCAGCAGCAGCAAGAGCAGATGCAGCAGCAGTCGCCAGGTTCCCCTCTCCGACGTCACGCTCTATCTTGGCTTTTCTTTCTCCTTCACTGTCTCCTTCTTTCTGTCCTTCCTCTGTCCCCTCTTTCCCCTCCTTGTCCTTCTCACCGTCACCTGAGACAGAAAAACATTTCACTTTAAACTGAGCATCAAAAGTGTTTCCTCACAGAATATAATCACTTCTCAAATCTCTTGTTGTTTGCTTAGTTGCTTTGCTTTTTCGTGGACAGAATTACATTTTTTACATAATTGGGACATAATGTTGTCCATTCATACCCATCTCTGACTCCGTCTTGTCTGCCTCCCTCTCTCCTTCAGGCTCTCTGGCTCTCTCCTCCTCCTTCTTTCCGTTCTCTGTCTGTTTTTCCTCTTCCTCAGTCACCGCTTCTTTGTTGTCCTGAGAAGGAAACATTTTAAACCCAAGGAAAACAATTCAACAATCAGGACATTTTCTCCTTCAAATGCTTGTTTTGTACTTCTGAAACAGCATCATTACCTTGGCCTCCTTCTTTTCTTCAGTTGCTTGGTTGTCATTCTTGCTGTCATCAGTACTTTCTTCTGAGGTTGAAACAAAAGACAATCACAAACTACTCCTCGTAGTTTATCCCGTTTCTACATTTCTGTTCCTGTCTTCGTTGTGTGTGTGTGTGTGTGTGTGTGTTGGACAACTTCACTCGGTCTTTCTCCTTCCTCCAGGCCAGTGCCTGCGATGCCACTCCCCTCCAGGCCGTACAGAGGGTCCTGTCGTCCGCTGGACCTCGCTGCCTCCTCCACACGTCGTACATGAGCCTCGACCAGCGCTGCAGGAACTTCCTCTTTCATGCGAGAAAACTCCTCTGAAATACATAACGAAGTAAAAAAGTCAACTTCACTTCATCCAGTGATTGACACCATTGGTGTGACAATGGTGTTTACTTTTTTTTTTTACCATTGGTGAGACAATGGTGTCACACCAATTTTTTAAAAACCTCTTCTCACCCAGAGCAGATTTAGCTGCAGCGGAGGCGACGCGTGGATCGACCACGGAGGCGAGGAAGGCCACTGTGCTCATGACAGGGTTCCCGGCCTGGCTGAAAGGTACGGGCTGGAAGGCCAGTGGACCCAGGGTGGAGGGGCTGTCTTCTATGTAGGGATCCTCGATGGGCAGTCGCAGGAAGTGAAGGATACACTCGTCCTGTGTGCGGCTGCCAACGTGTTCCGACACCTTGTTCCAGTCGTCCTTGTACATCTCCAGGCCCTGAAGTAAGAGATTAGTTTTAGCTGACAATTTATTTCCAATTGTTAAATTCTATGACGACAGTTGTCTGACAAACTTTTCACCTCCAGCAACAGCAGTGTTTCCTGCTCCGTCCACTCCCTCATTGAACTGGCCACACTCTTGCTCTGCACACACAAGCATTGACACTGTTTGATAAAAGACACAAACGACTCTTCGATGATTCGCTCGTCCTCCTGAACTTGTACCTTCACAGTCTTCTTGCTGTACATGTCAGTTCTTAATCCAAAATTCTGCAGATCTGCAGGTTTGTCCTTCACTTTATCAGGGAAGGACATCAGCTGCTGGGTGGACGGAGTCTGAAGGGGCAGAATGGAGAAAACAGGCAAATGACAATCACATCACTCACGTCTGAGTGTCGGTGTTTATGTCCTGTGTGTGTGTGTGTGTGTGTGTGTGTGTTTGGAAACCTGGGAGGCCTTGGGCTGCAGGGGCACCAGACTGGACGGAGTGTCTGCCAAGACATGGAAGTGAGAGGTGGGTGGAGGACCCATGGGCGTGGGCCGGCTCTCAGAGTCCACCTGGTAGTTGATCAAACCCCACTGCTCCAGGAAAGCGTGGACCCTGCAGGACAGCACACAGGACAGAGTTCACCAGAGGAACAGCGTGGAATCGTCTCTGTCCTCGGTCTCCATCTACCTCATGATTGCACAAACATCTCCTGCTAAGTTCCTGCGGCAGGCGGTGGAGGTGAGGTACTCCTGAGGGTTCAGTCTGTAGGTGTCAATCATGAAGTTCCTGTACGCTAAATAACTGTTGAGGAAAATGGGATTACATCATATGACGTTTGGTTGCACAACACTGTGGTTGATCAATCAAAGTAAAACTTTACTGAGAAAAAGGCTCTGTCACTAAACACTCACATCTCAGGCGTTTTGGATTTGTTCTTCCCGTTAAAAAACTCTGGCAGAGCTCTGCGCTCAATGGCGTGAACACTGGAGGTGAAAGAACAAGATTATAATGAATCACAGCTGAAAACTGGAACTGTTCAAAATCATCTCTACAGACGTCACAATCAGCAACTTTGATTTAAAAAAAAACCAAACAAATGAATTGTTTATTTCACCTGTTGTAGTCAAACCATGCAGCGTAGCTGGGTATGATGATGTGGTGAGTCTGTTCAGTGACGTTGTCCTCATGAAGGTCTGTGCCTTTCACTGGTTCACCCTTCACACTCGGAGAGCCTTCCTCCTCTTCCTGTTTGAACACACACACAGACACACACACACACACTGAGAATGATGTACGTTCTTTCTGTCAGCACTGTTCCGACCTCTTCAGTTTTAACAAACCACCTCACCTTCCCTGTTGTTTCCATTGACTCATCTTCCTGCTCATCTGTTCAAATCCCCAAATGACAGGATACAGGAAGGAGAAATGTATAAAAAAAAATCAAGATAAAAAAAATAAGACCTGTCAGTATTATGAGGATGTTTATTTTTGCTCACCCAGGTCTGTTCCACCTTTAACTGGAGTTGAGTCCGAGTCTTTCTTAGTGTTATCTGCAACAACAAGTACTCGTCAGTACTCTTTAATAATTCAATCTGTATGTGTTATATTTATTTATGATTTGTAAACTTGCGTACTTGTCTTGGCTGGGTTTGCCTCTTCTGATGCTGGAACAGGGGAGGCTTCATCCAGGTCTTTACTGAGGTCTTCTTGTTCCTCCTCCCTCTGACCACGTTTGGATTTAGTGTACGGTGTTGTTGGTCTGTGACGGCACCAGCAACAGGAAACATTTTAACATTTGAATTAAGATTCCTGACAGTGAAACAAACAGCAGTGGGATCAACAAACCCTTTTTTGGTGTTTTTCTTCTTGCTCTCCTGAGGCGGAGGAGTGGGTGAAGGCGACGGCGAACGCTTTCTCTTCTTGGCACTGCCTGGCTTCTTGTCTCGCCTCTCATCAGGAGTGGTCACCTCATCTGTCAGGGTCTTGGCAGAGATCCTCTTCCTCTTAGGGCAGCCCTCACCGACCTCGTAGTCCTCCTCGTTCATCCACTCATTGTACTGATCCAGGTCTAAAATCCACTTGGCATGGACCTGTGTTTTAGGTGTCGCAAAAAGAAAAAGCATTTAAACTATTTCAGATCAAGTCATCAACAGAAACTCTCACTGATCTGTACTTTATTCTGTCTTATCCTTTAAGACCAGGAGCTAATAGCTGTCATAAATAAAATAGTGAAATTGCTATTCCCACATTAACATTTATAGTTTTTCAGTATCATTGGCTTTTAAGGAAGAAAAAAATTTAAACCTATTTTTAAAAAAAAACAAAAACAAAACTTCGTACCTTCCTTGGCTTTTCCTGGCTGGGAGCATCCTCCACAGCAGCTTCTATCTCACTAGCTGGGATCCAGGTATCGTAACTGCGCAACGACAGGTTAAGTCATTAGAAACACTGCAAATGTGGAAAAGTTATAAGTTATTATGTTGCATGCACACAAGCTGTCGAACCATTATCATATCATGACAAACCTGTCAGGAAAATAACCCCAGTGAAGCAGCACTTGTTTATCTCTCTTCATCACAGGACGCACCCACTCCTCTGGAGCAACAAGTGAAAATAAAAAAGGAAGTCCATCAGTGCATTAGACTGGATTAAATCCACAACAACACACTGTACTGTGTTTGAAGCCTTACCTTCCTCCAGACTGGCAGGAATGGGCACCACAACATGAGAACTGGAAGCCTTGTCTTCAGTCACTGAGCCCTACAAAACACACATAACCATTATTTATTTACTTTGAAATTGAAACTTTAAAAATTATAACTCACCATATGTATGGGATTATGGACACAATTTGACTTAATATCTTAACTTAATATCTAAAGAAACCGAATTTGGAACAACAACGAAGTGACGCCTTAAACACAAAGTAAAAGGGTAGGACAGAGGCGGGGCAGGGAGTGGTTACATGTTACGTTCAAGGACTTTCCGTTATTGTATTTTAACTGACACCTGATAGTCCACTTACTGGTCATTCATTCATACGTTATGTGTTATTTAATAGTCTTATGACGGTGAAGCCCTCTCCGTAAGAACAGCTAATAAGAACACGTCACAAGACACTAAGAGACGTTTCTGAAGAAGAAGAAATTACACTTTAAAGTCGGATAATGAGAAAACCCAATTATCCTC